GGATTTTTGATGAGGAAAGAACTTTTGCAAGGTCTTAAATGATCTGCCCACAGATAACTTATTAATTGCAAGACAGGAAAGACATATCAAAAAGAATTAAACAAGACCCTGACAGCACGATCGAAATTCACACTACCTATGAGTGACAGAGGCATTTCATGTGCCTCGTGCCTCCAGATATGATACTCTGAAGACAGAAACATCACCACTCACACAGCATCTGGCTGAAATTGCATAACTTCAATCTAATCAAAAGTCGGATAAACACAAAATGAGGAACATTCTAAACGTCACTTCCTTACCTGAAAATGTACAGTCTTCCCATTGTTCTGAGAATAAAATTCAAAGTCCTTGAACTGGTTTGCAGGACATTTCATAATTGACAACTCAAACCCTCCAATGCCACAGCAAATGCTCCTCTTTGATCTTTCTTGTGCTTTTGCTTAAGCCATTGTTTTTCATCTTTCCAAGAACCACCCATTAGAGGGTTGTTAAATTAATCTAGTGGGGGAAACAATGTATTTTCTAGTGCAAACACACTCTGAGTTTAGATATCTGCAAAGTGGAGATGTTAACCAGATTTTTAATTCTACTAATACAATGTATGTCTATGTCTGAGAAGATCCTGTGGAGGTACAGAAGTAATCATAAAATCAAAATTTTTAAATCACCTACATAATCGTTTACATATTAATTGCATGGTGCTCAGAAAAAGGTTCTTCAAATCTACTTACGTCTAATTCAAAAATTAAAAATTGCCACTAAATCTAAGTGCTAGTACCCCTAAAGCTAATCTACCAACACCCCCACTGGAACCACTAAAAGAACCCACACAAACCCAAGACTCCAAGAGCTACCATAATGATACCCTCCCAAGGCACATATACCTTCAACATCTACGAATACAATCTCATAAAATTCCTTACCCCACCTCCCACCCCCGGAGCCCTATCACTGTCCCATCATTATCCCCTAATTAGATCTCTAGGACAAAACACCAGTTAGATCTCTGGGACAGGGATGGACACACAGACAGGTGTGTACACACACACACACACAGGCACTTGATATAAGGAAACCTTTCATGCTGTCATTGCCCTATTACACAAAAGTAGAAAACAAATCCGCATTAACTGACAGAGGGAAGGGCAACTTGCTACCCTGCTAAGAGAGAGGTGGAAGAAAAAAGGAGAAAGGACTCTCTTCTAGTTATTAGAGAAAGTCACAATGATCAGGCCCAGATTCCTAAGAGTTGTCAGCTGGGTAATCATGTCAGAAATTTATCTGGATCTGAGACCAGGAAAGGCCTACGCTGGTGTTGTTTCGGTTATAGCACTGGGCTGTTTTATAACTTGTTAGGGGCAGTTTGACTTCTAGACTTTTGTTGAATAGCGAGAGAAATCATTTCTGACCAGTGCAAAAGATAGCCCCAAAAGATTACAGTTTATGATCCTGTTTTAAATAAACCAGTTTTCATCTAAGCCAGTAATCTACAAAACTGTCTCTTTATCTAGTTTCTCAATTGTTTTTTTGAACTGTTTTTTACATTTTACTGGTTCCCTCTCTAATTAACAAGTTGAAGAAAATCTTCAAAACAACTTGCATCAGTAGTAAATAATTTTGCGCAACAAATAACTTTACCTTTATGAAAATTCTACTCTAGGGGGAGGGTGGTAATGGGAGGGAAGTGGGGAGGGTTGGGTGGGTGGGCTGGATTGGGAGTAAAAGGGAGAAAACTGTACTTGAACAATGATTAAAATAAAATTAAAACAAAATTATACTCTAACAAGCACCACTTTTAACATTGTTTCTAGAGATGTTCATGGGTTATACATTCAAAATAAACCACCTTTGAAATTTTCAATCACCTACATTTGACTGGATTTTTTAAATATACAATATTTGTAGAAAGTTATAAATTGGTAAAAAAAACTATTAACTTAGAGTAAAAGTCACTATGCTTAAATCCTACTAAAGAATAAGCTACAGTGTGTATTTCTTGATAATTACTATGCAATCACAGGTCTCATTTCATGGCTAAAGATGCAGAGAATCTCTTCTAGAAACCGGAAGATTAGAAAACAAAGAAAATACAGGTGATAGACTGATCAGTCAGTAAAACTGGGAGAGTTTGGAACATCGTTCTCCTCTCCTCTGCATGTTATATCATCTATGGAATACTTAAAAGTATGAGAGGCGGGAAGACAACCCAGGGACTAGTACTTTTTTAGAAATGTAATCTCTGTACAGCCACTTTTCCTGAGTGTTTCAGACTCTCTCCAGCTTTTCCTCTCTGCAATTAAATAGTAAGAGAAAATAATGAACATAATTATACCTGATAAACTTACAAAGAGTGGCATTATTCCCTCTATGTTAACAAAAAGGAAAATAATTTAAATAAAACAACATACAAAAGTAAGTATGTAACCTACATTTCATGGTTGGGTTCAGAGTTTCTTGAGAAAAATGGACACTACAGCTACTTAAAAACTCCTGCTAAATGAAGATCAAAACTACATAAAGATCTCAAAAAATATAATATAAACCAGTGGGAAAATAAATTTTGCTATATAAACTTCGTTTCGCACACCTATTTGGTAAGGGCACGTACCATTCATGGTGGACTATAAAAAGCAAGAGAAATATCAAAATGGGAAGCTATGCGTCAACTTATGAACCAAACCAAAAAAATGGGGGGGGGCAGAGGGAGGCTTCAAAACATTCGTATTTTTTAGTTTAACCAGATAAGAATTTTGTCTAAAATCTTTCTTCCTGCTGACTCCCCTTTACTTTCCACTCCAATCTTGTTTCCATCCCCACTTGTAAGTTTCCAACGATCTTGTCATGAAATTTGACTATTACCATCCACCCAACTGCTAAAGTAAAACACCTGAGGAATTATCCTTAATGCCTCCATTTCCCTCCCCACCCTTACTCAGTGCAGCAGCCAGTCTAGGCAGTTTCTACCGTCTCTTAGTCTGTCTCCTTCACTCAAGACTCCCCGACAATGCATGCCACTGCACCCAGGGTAGGAAAGACATAAATTATATCAGGCCATAATATAACTTTAAAACTATATTATGCCCTCCTTCAAAGCCTCCAAATGCCTTCTTACCATAGCCTCAAGCCCCTGCAGCATCTAGCTCCTACCTACTTTCCCAACATCTTTCTTTCCTTAGGATCTCCTCCGCATTCTGGCCTGCATTCCAGTCAAGTATTTTAAGCATCTACAACACTGACTGCCTGGCATATGCTTTCCCTACCTCTTCCTGTGACTGCTTATCCTTCAGATTCCTAATCAACTGACACTTCCTCAAGGAGTGCTTCACTGAGCACTATTTAAAGTAGTCCTCTCTTCCCCATCTACCACAAGACACTGCTTATCTTCTTCAACATGTTAATCACATTCTGTAGAAATGTGTGTCTAAGGTGGGGCAGTGGGAGTTGTCTTCTTTCTTCTACCACCAGAATACAAGCTCTATTCCCAGCAGGGATTTTGTTTGTTCTATCTACCAGTTTCTTAAGGCCTAGAACAATACATGACATATAATAGGCACTCAACAAGCAACTGTTCAGTCAACAAATGCTCAAATTGAAGTCTACACCTATAGCACTGAAGTGAACAAGAAATTATCTGAGTTCCATCCAGAGTTGGTTCTTTCAGCAATTAGCTGTGTGGCCCTGAGCACTCCACAAGATTGGAATGAGTTAAGAGACTCTGGACAGTAAGAAAGAGGAAACAGCAAGTACGAAGATTTTTTTCTCCTAAATTTCCCTGTCTAAATTCAAGAATCAAGACATGCAGACATGCGAAAGCCTGTAACCTGAGTTTCTCTCACCTGTGTGAGATTACTATGTCACACTTCTGGCCCAGAAATACTAGAATTATATAGGCCTCAATCTACTTCCAATCCAAACTTCCCATTCCCATCCCTCACGGACATTCCTCCTACTCCCACCAACCAAGACAAGGTCTTTACCCTGCAACCAAACCTCACACCCTGCATTTTCCTGCCTACACATTTGCTCATTCTTCCACATCTTTGCCAACTGCAACAACTAGAAATTCTATCTTTCAAAGCCCAGATCAATCGTTAACTGCTCCATAAAGTCTAGTCCAATCACCTGGTCCAACACTGGTATGATCTTTACATGTTCTGGAAGTTCTTTTACCCTCCAAATTCTTTTATCCTGTTTCCTAATCTGTAAAACGGAGATCATAGTATCTACCATACCACCCTATTGTTGATTGAGAATATACAGTTGGATAATAAAGTGTTCAATGAATGTATTATTTGTCGGCTACATATACTTGTCTCTCTCCTTGAGGTCTAACAGAGTGACCTTTTTCATCTCTGCATCTCCGAAAGTTTGAATCCATTTCTCCTTCCAATGCCTTGTGTTTTCACATCCGTAAAGTAAAAGGAATGGACTAGAACAATGTTCTCCCAACTATACTCTTACATATATAGCCTAAAGCAAAGGTACTACAGGTGAGCTTCCTTACTGAAACTACTCTTGCAGATGGAAATGAGTGAAAGCATTTACGTTAAAATAACATTGATGACGACTTTGGTGATTCTTTCCAAAGCAACTGCCTCTGGTCACAGTGATGGATCCTTTGTACTGTTGTTTTTAAGTTGAGCTGAAGGAGTCTGTGCCCCAGCAGGGCGAAAAAACAGAATGAGGCTGCAGAAACCTGCCGCGTTAAGAAGGAAAATGTTTGTAAGCCACAAATGTATTAAAGCTCGGACAAGAAACCCAACGCCTTTACCTGACACTAATCTAACCACAAGCAGCGGGGAGACAACCCGTGGCGGAGGGAAGAAAATGGGGCTGGCCCAAAACCTACTAAGCAGCCTGGTAGGCGGGAGGGGACAACTGCGGAAGCGGTGCAACCTCAGAGTTCGGCATTTTTCCTAGGCCGGCCCCCAGCCCGCAGGCCCGCGGTTAGAAACCCGGGCCAAGACTCTTCAGCAACCCGTGTCCCGCCCTCGTACCTGCCGGGTCGAGCGCCATACCGGCCACAGAGGATGGCAGCCGCGTGGCTACTCCCGGGCAGGGGGCGGGGAGGGGAGGAGCCTGGGCACCGCAGCACGTGCGGCGGCCCAGAGCTTCCCGCCGAAGGAGGAGGAGGAGCGCGGTGCCCTTCTCAGAGTCCAGCGGACTCCGTTCCCTTTTTCCTAGTCGCTACTTCCGCCGCCCATTGCGCTTGCGCCCTCCCGGCCCCGCCCCTAATCGTGTAACGAGTGGAACGTACTTTACTGTGGGAAGTGACCGGGAAGGGGGCGTGGCTGTGCGCGTGCCTTGGAAGCGGAGCTGTCTTAAACCCTGGCAGCCTCGCTTTGGGCGGAGCCCGAGTGCCCGCCGGCCGGCTTTGATCTCTAGTGACAGGACCCGAAGCTGTGGGCCTTTGGGACTGTGACTCCCTTAGTAACTCGGTCTAAATCTAAGCCCCACCCTCTACACCGGCTTTGGAAGAACCAAAGGAATCATCCAGCTCATTTTTTCTTCGTTAATGTTCATTCATTTATAAATGTCTATTTCATGCTTGCCAGGTTCCAGCCATGGTTTTGAATAGTACTGGAAAATAATCGAACAAAAATAAGGTTCCCTCCTGCTCGAGGAGCAACGCGTTGGAAGGGGGTCAGATACAAGCAACACGCTGTTAAATGTGATAAAAGCCATGCTCGCGAAATAGGCACAGCTCATTAGAATACCATAAAGGTAGTATGTGTGCCGTGTCATTCTTTCTTTTCCAAATCAGCAGCTTGGCTCCCTTAGAGGTTAAAATTAAAAACTGGGCTCTAGGGGTGTCTCCGTTTACTGAAATAATATCCTCAGGGCATACCGTCCGAATCGCGACCCCGATAAAGCTGTATGTTTTGTGAAGAAAATGAAGTAAGGTGGTAACCATCCTCCTTAAGAACCCCAATTACCCTCTTCTCAATACAAGAAACTTTTTGGTAACAATTATGCCCATTTCCACTCACAACCAGCTTTCAGAAATGCTTCCTTGTCATATCCACGTTTAGCTAGCTCGAGCCTCCAAAGGGTGACATGCAGCCGGGGACAGAGGGGACAGATGTTAGAAAAACAAGGAGCAGCTGCTTCTTCCCTGCGAGGGATTTAGGGCTTTCAAAATGATCCCCTCCCCACCTACCTGCAGTCCCTCCTCCCCTGCTGCTGCTTCCGCCTGGTTAGTTGGCAGAAAAGCTGACGCAGTTGAGCAGGGCTGGGAAAGTGGGTCTCTGCTCAGCAGGTCTTCCGTTTAAGGGCCTATTTGGGCATAACGGTCCTTATTACAGCTGTAGGTTGAGGTGCCAAGGTGAAGAATTAATGTTTCATTCAGCCAGGCAGGAAATCGGATCCTTTTCCTTGTGTTTTATAAATGTCCTTAGAAATACACCAATTTTATCCTGGCACACCTTTTATTTTTCTGGAGGTGAAGGATTTAATTTAGAAAGTAAATGTGTTTGAGGAGATGATACAGGGTATAAAAACACAAGTCAGATGCACAGTTAAGTAATTACAAGAAATCTTCCTATATGCAAAAGAGCATCAGGGTAAAGGGGAAACTTGGAGAGCTTTAGTCAAAAACGTAGGTACCAACACCTGTATCTGTATCATGACCTATTAGCTTTGTGACTTAAATAAGTTCTGATGTTTCTCCAAACTTTAGTTTCTAATTTGCAAGGTTGTTGTGATACATAAATGTGATATCATATAACACTGTTTTAGCAATTAAAGACCACTTCTATAGTTTTTGCCATACCAAGTATCACTTGAACCACTATTATTTGATATTTTTTATTTAAATCAACTCACATTTTTAAAAAAAAAGAACTTAAATAGGCACTATCCATTTTAGCCTTATCTGAAGTAATGATCTCTCTAAAATCATGGGTTTTGTGTGTCCCATAAAATCAACTGCCAGTCACGTCACATTATGAGAAGCACTAGCGAAAGTTGCACCTCAATGCCTGGTACGTAATAGTGTATCCCTCTGCTCGCTACATTAAACTGCATCATTTCAGGGCAAAGTCTCTACAGTCTAACTGGGAAACATAAGTCATTTCTTAAAAAGTCAAGTCATAGAAATTTAATTGTCAATTAAAGCAGAAGAAATTTCCTAATATATCACATTATTAATAGACAATTCTTTAGACAATAATTGCAGTAAGCACATAAAGAGAAAGGAGAACGTGTTTTGTCCTGGAAATTAGGAACTATGTATTATCTAACCATGATCCCAAGGACTCAGACAATATTTGTCACCTAAATGCCCCACAGTGGCCTTTTCCAGAGGATTGAATGCCAGGATGGTTAGGAAAGACTTCAAAGATGTGGTACAAATTATGGTTGGCCTTAAAGGGTGGGTAGCCTAGGTAGGCAGAGAAGAAGGCATGTCACACTAGGAGAAAAACAAGAACAAAATATCTGAGATGTTCTTGAAGGATGGGTGGGGCATGGAAAGGGAGTAGGTAAGAAATGGAACCATATGGGGGTGAAAAGCACAGGGCTGCATGATAGGCATGTGGAGGGCAATGCTCAAAAACACTTTGTCCCTGGCTGGTGTGGCTCAGTGGATTGAGTGTCGGCCTGCAAACTGAAAGGTCACTGGTTCAATTCCCAGTCAGGGCACATGCCTGGTTGGCGGGCCTGGTCCCTAGTTGGGGGCCAAGTTGCCAACTGGGGGTGTTCCAGAGGCAACTGATCAACGTATCTCTTGCACATGGATGTTTCTCTCCCTCCCTTTCTCTAAGAATAAATACATAAAATCTTTTTTTTTTTTAAAAAAACCACTTTAATACATTTGAGGATTTGGAAAACTAGGGTAGATGAAAATGAGACCGAAATGTTAGAAGGTACCAGATTCCCAAAGCCTTAAACATTAAGCTGAAGAGTGTTTAAATTTGTTACTATAGGCACTCAGGAACTGCTGATGCCTAACAAATAGAAAAATGGCACTGTGGTCAAAGTGATGTTTTCTAAAGATTTCTGCAGGATAAATTTAGGTGATGAAGAGAGACCCAGGAGGTAAGCAGAACAGTAAACAGGCCATTGCAATAGTTCAGGGAGGATTGGAAAACAGCCTAAACTAGGACATGTAGAAGGGTAAAAAGAAAGGATGAATGTAAAAGCAATTGCAAAGGAAGAATCTAAACTTTATAATTGAACTTAGGAGGCTAGAACGAGGAGTCAAGAATTTCTAGATAACTCCATTCCTAAGCAAATATATACAGACACATGAGAATATCATGACAATGCAACCATTCATGCTTCAAGATCTGCCATCCATCCTCATTACTGGGTCAAACCACTTAGAATAAAGTTGCAATAATACAAGTGAGCAAGAATGATGGTTTGTCAACGACAGAGGATATGAAGGCAGAGTGAGCTATGCAGTATATAGACTAGACATTAATACTTATGTATTTATATGGATTTCTTAGTCTAATATCCAAGAAATGTGCAAATGCAAATATCTAAGTTGTTTATCAAGTCAATTCTGATTATACATATCATTTCTTTTTTGCTCTACTTGATATCCAGTTGGTTATTTTAAAATATTGAGACGGTTGGTCAGCCCCTACTTCCTTCTAACTCTGCCTAGCATCAGAATTAAAGATTTTCCATCCCTAGCTCTGCTCTGCCTTATCTTTGAGCCAACAAGAATTAAATTTGGAAAAAATGTTAGAATCCCCCACCCCTACCTGTAGATGGAATTTGGAACTATTTCCTGGCTAGAAGGTCACTCTCCAAGGGGCCCTACTGGCTCTGTCTGCTTTCTGAGCTACATGATTTAGCCCCCAGCTCTCTGTGGCCTCTACCATCTATGATGTGAATGGACTTAAATTCAGGTGGACACGTATCAGTTTGCTAATCTGTCGTAACAAAGTGCCACAGACTGGGTAGCATAAACAACAGAAATTTATCTCCTAACAACTGGAGGCTAGAAGTCCAAGATCATGATGTCTACGGGTTTGGTTTCTTCTGAGGTTCCCTCTCCTTGGCTTGTAGATAGCCATCTTCTCTCTTTCTCTTCACATGATCTTCTCTCTATCTGGGTCTGTGTCCAAGTTTCCTTTATTTTGTAAGGAGACAACTCATATTGGATTAGGGCCTACCCTAGTGACCTCAGTTTAACTTAATTACCTCTTCAAAGACTCTGTCTCCAAATAGTCACATTTTCAAGTACTAGGCTTAGGACTTCAACATACGAATTTTCTGAGACACAATTCAGCCTGTAACCACAGTCTATGTTTTTTAAACACTTTTCTTTTTTTTTAAAGATTTTATTTATTTAATTATTTATTTATTTATTTTTAGAGAGGGAAGGGAGGGAGGGAGAGAGAAAGAGAGAGACATTAATGTGCAGTTGCTGGGAGTCATGGTCTGCAACCCAGGCATGTACCCTGACTGGGAATCAAATTTGCGACACTTTGGTTCGCAGCCCACGCTCAATCCACTGAGCTACACCAGCCAGGGCTCACAGTCTATTTTTTTTTAACGAGGACTACGAACCTTCCCTGAATCCCAAATCACTTGGCTAGAGTCCTGAAAACCTGCCTAACATTAGCCTTTCCCCAGAGGAGGACACTTTGTCCCTGTTTTCCTGGTGTTCAAATAAGGCCTGCTTCAACATGGATAAGGCCACCTGGTCACTTTGACCAGCTCCTGTCTGTCCCTTATCGCCCACATCCAATTGACGACATTTTCTCAGTTCTTCCTTAATATATCTTTATTGCATCTACCAACCACACTGTCATAATATTCCATCCAAGATCTAGCAGCAACAGCCTCCTAACTTTTTCCTTGTTCCTCCATCATTCTTTCTAACTCATTTGACCCACAACAGAAAATATGACCACAAAATTTCTTATATAAAAGCTGAGTGGTTCCCCATATAAATAAAATCCATACCCTTCCCTTTAACAAGGTTCACAAAACTTTTAATGAACTAGTCCCAGCTTACTACTTCGCCCTTTCATAATTAGCCTCCTGTACCCAGTAATTGCCACTATATGAATTTACTTGCAATAGTTTATTATGGAGACTTTTCTGTGCACAAATGGGTAAAATTCTGTGTTTAAAAACTGGAGTCATTGTAGAAAGAGCGTGTAGTGGAATAAAAGGGCCTTAGAAACTAACCAGATAAATTCAAGTTCCCTTCCCCTTCTTTTACTTTTTAACA